GGTTGAGTAAATTTGAATTTGTGTTCTTAGCATATCCTCCCGTTCCTTATGTTCTCAATTCCTTTATCTTTGACACATATTTGCAACATTTTTACTATTATTTTCACTTATTTCTTAATCTACTTGGTTTTCTTAAATTAAATAAACCTTGTCTTAAGGCAGTGCCACCCAGACTTTGCCTGTTTATCATGACACTTAGTTACTTTCTGTAGCATCTTCCAGTTTCCAAGTCAGTAAGCAGATGCATCATAGGAGTGAGGATGTGCACGTCTAAATAGTGAGGGTGGTCCATGCTTGGCTTCAGAAGCACCAGTTGAGTATTGTTCAAGTAAAACTCAGAGGAAGGATCCTTGCCCTTGAAGACCGAAGGATGAATTTTAAAATGTAAAAATGGGAGGCAGTGGGAAAAGCCAAAAGGAGGATAAGTGGGGCAAGCCAGAATTCCTAGACAGAAATGCAGGTGACTCTCAATAGTGAATTAATCAGAAGATTTCTGATTTCTTAATGGGGGGTAGGTGGGGAAAGGAAAGAGAGAGAGGAGGGGAGCGGGGGAGAAGTCTAGGATCTGTGTGTGTGTGTGTGTGCGTGTGTGCGTGTGTTTTGTGTGTCAACTTGACATAAGCTAGAGTCATCAGAGAGGAAGGTCCATCTGTTGAGGCGATGCCTCCATGAGATCCAGCTGTAAGGCATTTTCTCAATTAGTGATCAATGGGGGAGGGCCCAGCCCATGGTGGGTGGTGCCATCCATGGGCTGGTGGTCTTGGGTTCTATAAGAAAGCAGACTGAACAAGCCATGGGAAGCAAGCCAGTAAACAGCTTCCATCCATAGCCTCTGTATGAGTTCCTGCCTCCCAGGTTCCTGCCCTGCTTGAGTTCCTGTCTTGGCTTCCTCCAGTGGCAGAAGTGGAAGCCCAATAAACCCTTTCCTCCCCAACTTGCTTTTGGTTGTGGTGTTTAATCACAGCAGTAGAAACCCTAGCTAAAGCAGTGTGAGAGGGTAAGTAAAATCCAATTTAACAATGAACTGTGACTACTAGCCTGGAAATCTGGAGAAAATGGACAGAACCTAACCTCAATCCTTGATATTACTAGACATTAGACCTTACACTGTTCACTTTGACACCCCTTTTAATCAAACCTTGGGATGAAAAATAGATGAGATCTCTCTTTAATTAATTAATTTTTAAACTTTAAAAATTGTGTTATGTATATAGGTGTATATATGTGTGTATATTCGAACCACATGCATGCCTGGTGCCTGCAGAGGCCAGATTAGGGCATGGGATTCTCTGGAACTGGAGTTACAGATGATTGTGAACCACCATATGGGTTCTGGGAATGTAACCTGGATCCTCTGGAAGAGCAGCTCTTGATTGCTGAGCCCTGACATAATCTCTCTTTTAACAACTTATAGAAAATATCCAGACTTTTGAGTGAGTTCAGTGTTTGGACAAAGCGAGCAACCTTGAAGTTTCTAGGGATTCCAAGTTTGTATGTACTTCATGTTTATCCAACCGAAGGAACAAGAGCTATACCAAGCCAACAGTCCCCAGGCTAAATGGCACGGGTTCTCTGGGGCTAAATGTTGTCATTGGCATTTATTGCTCGTGGCTTTGGGAAGCCTGTTCAACCTGAACATCTCAGGTTCCTCCTCTGCCACGTGGGCTTAGATATGATAGGGTCTTCTTGGAAGTCTGCAGTGTGTGCTTAGATCTGTTCCTGAGGCCAGTGCTGTCGAAGAACAAGACTGGTCTCATGTGTCCTGAGATAAATGTGTATGGCCAGCTGCAGACAACAGCTATGGTGGACCTGTACCTTCAGTGTTAGTGAAGTTGTTTCTGATTCTGCCCTTGGCAAGTTGGAGACACAGGCCAGACCCTTGGCAGAAAAGATGTTTCGTTGCTGTGAGCAGGTCAGGAAGCCGCCAAGTGAAGCCCCGAGTTCGATTACGTACAGGGTTAGAATGAACTCTGTGGAAGGAAGTTCTTGTATAGCATTTCCCAGAATACTGGATTCTGCCTCTAAGGAGATTTTGTGGTTTTTCCTCTTTCATATAGGATGTTCTTTAAAAAAAAGAAAGAAGGAAAGAAGGAAAGAAAAAAGGATATCTTGGGCTTCTTTTTTTTGATGCAAAATATAAAATATTTTCATTAATGTCTGAGTTTTCATGGAGGTTCTGGTGACTGCAGAGGGCAGAGGGATTTGCCACTTTCAAGTCCTGAGATTCAAGCCCTCTGTTCCTCTGTCCCATGAGAACAAAATCTCAGCCACCAAATACCAGTGTTAAGTTTTCTTCTTAACTAATGCCAGCGTCCTTGGTCTTGTACTTGACATTTCTGTCTCATCATCCTCCCTGAGAATGTGCCCCAAGCTACTCTAAGACGTTTTCAAATCAAAACTAAAGTGCAGAGGGTTGCTTCCCATAAGGCACATGTGAAACTGCCAGCCTAGCTTTGATTCAGGATTATTTGGGAATGTTTACTTGAATTTTTTATTAGATATAATGTAGTGTGTGTGTGTGTGTGTGTGTGTGTGTGTGTGTGTGTGTGTGTATGTGTTTGTGTGTGTGTGAGAGAGA